CGTCTTCCGTCGAACAAGCAGCCTTAAAACCCCGCCGAGAATCGTCCGATTCTCGGCGGGTTAGTGGCCTGCTTGTTCGACAACTGCCGAACGGGCCGGTGTGCGCACGCGCACACTGCCCGTTTACAGTGATCTGAAGCCCGCCCCTCACTGCAGTCACCGGAAGCCTGCCCCTTAGTGGGGTGGGCTTTCGATGATCGCAAGTACGATCTGCCTGTCCAAGATGGGCAGATCGTACAAGCTTTCAATGAGCTTACGACCATCGCAAGATAAAAGTCTTGCGATGGTCGTAAGGTGTATGGGCACCTTAAGTCTACTGCTTTGCTATAAGGGCCTACTAATAGCAGACCTGAAGTTCAAATTACACACAGCTGAATTATCAGAGGAGTTGGCGTTCCCATCTTTTTTTCCTACTCTATAGAGCATTTCAAAATCAGAGAAAAAATAAAGTTACAACTGTGCTCTTTAAAACAGAATAATATAAAATAGGTTTATTTGTAATATACAGATTTTATGAAGATTAGATTTTAAACCAAAAAAACACCCAAAAAACTAGTTTAACTAGAAAATTAAAAACAAAGTGCCAAATACATCAGAGCTAAAATATTACAGGTCTACTCTAGTCTGAAAATAAAGAGAACTGAAAACTTTCGCTTTTAGCTGGGCTCAAAATGTGATGCAAACATTAAAGAAAAATGAGTGTACTATGACAGACTTTATAACAGCACGTGCACACCTTAACTGATGATATCTTGTTTGCTAAAGCACGGTGTATCAAATATTTTTTTTAAACCAATTGTTTTGGAGGTTTCTCATTCCTTCATCCTTTGTTGCATTCCAGTGGCCCTGATTTCATGAAGTCACTTCCTGCCTATATGTATGCACTCCAGCGATGGCTGGCTGGCATTCCTCAGGGCAGCTTTCCTGATGAAGACAAAAGTGGGCCATGCCTGAGCTGTGTGTCCACACGGCCAATTAAATTCTCCACTTAGAGACCATGTGATAGGGCAACAATGAAGGAGAACAACTGGGAGATGGGGACAAAGTGTTGTCACCCAAAAATAGAAGTGTGTGCCCAAGGACCTTCATGGCTGGATCACCAGTTATTTATTGAGTTACAGATAAAATATTACATTTGACTTTTGGAATGACTTTAATATAACAATGTTTATGAGATTTTAATGATTGGGTCTACATTTAATTTAACAACCCACTAAATGTTATTTCCACTTCACAACAGCAATCAGCCACCCGTACTATGTAATGCACACACTAGAACCAGTGCAGAAAGTCATCACCGCGCCTCTGAACTGGGTGTGGAACACGCTACTTACAATTGCAAAATTCAGATTATTAATGGAACCCAACCTTGTCATTGATCGTGTTTTTCCATGTTCGTACAAAACATTACATAGTGTTTACTGTATCACTGCCTGTAATGTTAGACTTTGTCTCCTACACCCTGCCTATGGGCATGTTACCATTTAATACTAAAAACAAAAAAAGGCCTCAACACCACCCATCCCGCAACCTTCTTACTTATTCATGTCACTGGGGGATAGATTGACCATTACACATGACATTCACAATAAACATGATTTTAGGAGATTTACATTGAGTAATACATTTACAGCAGAGAACTCCCAAGCGTGGTTTTCACTTTCTCTCTTCATCTAACATGGCAAACAACAAGCGCCACTAAGTTCTATGATATATTACTGAACCTCCAGCACTGCTTTTACATTCATTTTAAATAAAAAGAACATGAAAGTTGTTCACCTAAGATGGCAACTCCACTAAGCACTATTCTTCTATAATAATGAACCTCCGATATTGCTTTTACACTTCATTAAAAAACAAAAAAAAACAGAACATGAAAGCCCAAAGGGCCTCCAACATGGTTCCCATTTTTGAGCTCACATGCAAAACATGTCAAAGGTTCACTGGCTTTCATGTTTACTATTAAACTCGGAAGAAGATTTAAAAATCATCAACCCAATCTTGTATATTAAAAATATTTAATTCAAGAACTGTAATAAATCATGGCTGATTTCATCCGCCTTATAAACCCTTATAAACAGCAGCACTAACACTGGGAGGGTGATAGATGAAGCTCTGAGCTAGTCAGGGCTCTTACTTTGTGCAGTGCAGTCAACATTCTGAGCATGCTTACAGGAGGGGATGATGACCTTATCATTGGGCTGCTGCTCCTTCATTGTCAGGTTGCTGACCGAGCTACATTGTTCAAAACAGGCCCACTTTACTGTCAGACTGCAGCAGCCTCATACCTTTGTGGATCTTCCAGGTATTATTATACAGGATTTATATAGCGCCAACAGTTTGCGCAGCACTTTACAATATAGGAAAGACATTGTAATTACAATACAATTCAAGACAAGATGGTAAGGAGGGCCCTTACAACCTGTGTTTCTGTATAGTTTGTATGCACATGAGAATAGGGTATGGGGAATTATGAGACTTGCTTCTCTTCCACCCACATGATAGCACTGATGCTTTGTGACTGGCTGCTCAGATACCCAGCACTGTCACATTTGGATAGGGAGAGAGTCTTTAGCCTTGTGTAAGCTTCAAGTCATGCTTACAAAGAGTTTCTTCTCCTCACTCACTGGTGAAGAAAGCAGCAGGGGTGTGAAGTATAAGTGCCGCCATTGAATTGGACATCAAAGTCCAAATCCCATTCGCACTGCCCAGTCTCAAAACCTGTCACTGTCGCTCTGATGAAGGATCCCTGTGCAGACCCGAAACGTTAGCACCGTATGACAGTATGTGACATTGGGTATTGAATAAACATGTCAATACTTTAAAAACCCTTCAAGTGTGTGCCAGTGAATTACTTTTATTTACTATTGAATTGGACATGACGTTTTGCCTGTATGGTCAAAAGCACAGGTTCTCTAAGTGCAGATAGAAGAGTGTTTGCATCACAAGACTGGATGAACAGAATAACAAATTCTGTGTATTTAGCCGTTTGCCTTACGTTCATGTAAGAGCAGTGCTGGAGTAGTATTTTGACTGCTGTGGATGTAGAGGACTATTGTTCTACACGGAGCTTCTTCCAACGCATTGCCCAGGGAACCCACCACATTTGTTACTAAGCCATTAACATGCAAATTGATATAAAACCCACTGTTTCAAAAATAATGCGGCTTGTTCTTATATATTGCGCTGAATGCTTCACCAAGAACTTTACACACAAAGGTTAAATTAAGAGTAGCGCATTGTCCAGAATATGGCATCCCTAAAAGCGTGCTCATTTACAGCATCAGCAGTTTCATCTTTGGTAAAATAAGGTGCTTATCCAATGGTAAGCAATTGATGCAATGTTTGTTAAAGTCTCATCCTGATCGTAGCATGGCAGAAACACACAATTTGTACATATTTTTACACATTTCAGTAGATGTACAGTACTCAAGGGCTTATGTCAATGTCTATTCAAGAGAAAGTAAAGATCTAAAATACAAACTGTGCTCATATAATTGCAATGACTGATTTTTTCCCCCCACTGATTTCACATGCAAGAGGCATTGCTGTTTATTTTTAAATTATTTTTATATAGATTTTTTATCCCCTAATATTCCCGTTATGATGATTCAATATTAGAAGCTGTACTTCACATTCATCGAAACATGCAGAGACCTTGTTTCTCACAATTATTTGGCACAATGGCAGAACAAAAAACAACTTACCTTTACATTTGATTTCCTAGAAAAATTTACCACCACTCCCCATCCAAAGTCTTCCTCTTCTCTCTTCACCTGGAAAGAGGATCAATCATTTAATATGTGTGAAATGGCTGATAATTTAACAAAGCTACAGCAATGTGGTCAGCACGATGACCTTATAGACCCAGGGTCCTGCCTTCTAATGACACCAGGGGTACTTGCTATATGAAATTTGTATGGTGTGTCTATTTTCTCATATGACAGCGCACTGCTTTACAGAAAAGCTGAATGCTTTCACGACTTTAGTTAAACTCGAGGAATAGGCGGGTGTAAGGATGTCCAGATACCAGTGCCGATACTTGGGATTTTCATGAGAACTACCAGAGTTGCAGCAGTTGGAGTTGGGACCGGGCTCTGGCGCTCCACCACTGTCCTGAAATCATTAGTCTGTATTGTTTTAGAAAAACTGTCACAAGACACTAAACAAAAATGTATCAGTACTTGTATCTGAGTACTTGGACAAGTATCAGTACTTGTAAAAATAGTATCGGTGCATCCCTTGAAGATATTTATATATAAAAAATAATAATAATTACATTAACCATTTCATGACTGAGGCCCTTTTTTCATTTTTTGCACCCATGT